AAAAGTAACATTCCCCTCGCTTTTCCTTACCTATAAGCACTCATAATCAGTTCCTTCCCTCTCTTCAAGAGTGTCTAGAGAGTTTTATGGCCTCAGCACCTTCCCCAGGGGTGGCAGTTGATACAAGCCTTCATTTCCCACGCCCCCTCTTAAGGATTTCATTTTCTTTTCAGCATTCTGCCCTCTGACACCTGTTTAAGATTCTGCTTCCTCAACACTTGTTGATGACGTTCATAAGTTACCTGCTAATGAAGTTGAACTACCTGGCCAGGAAATTGAGTTTTTCAGTTTTTAACAACAAATTACAAAGAGTCTTGATTTAGTTAACTACTTAAGCAGAAATTGATCTGCTGTCCAAAATTCTCCCTAGAGTCCTTTATCACAAGTAAGATTTAACACATTAGTTTACACTTTCTTTATGAGATTTTTTAGTTCTTCTCTCTTTCTGGTTTTTCCTCCTACACATTGTTTCTGTAAACCACTAACCACTTTGATGCCTCCTATACTCCATTTCATTCTTTTTTGCAATTAGGTTAATGAAAAGCTTCCAGTCGGTTGTATTGGCAGTGCTCTTTTTTATCGATTATTCCAGTCCTTTTAACACATTCCAATTGCTTTAACATACACTGGAGTTATTTTTAGGGACTTCCATTTGCATAGGCACCCTTCTTCACTGATAACCCTGAAGCCCTGAATGGGCCTGGCTGCACAACCTCCCTCAGATCCATTCTAGTCTGTACTGCTTTTACCAAGAACCTCAGTCTGAGCTGTCTGTAAAGCAATTGCTGTGTGTTGATGCTGTGCCAAGTACTGGCATTCTGTCACCACACAAAATAAGCAGTAAGAGACATCATTCTGGAAAAGACCTGTGCAGGTCAGTGGATCATCCAGGTCACTCTCCAACAGTGGCCAAAAGCAGATAGGAAATGAAGGGTACAGGAAGAGGTGAGGACATACAGTACCTCCCCTAGATACTCTCTTGGCCTCCAGTTACTTGCAGCTCAGGAATCTCAGTCAGAAATCTACTTACTGAGTACTCTCAAAGGATTTTTCTTACACCAACTTGTCCAGTCTTCTCCTTCTCCACAAGTTTTACCTTACAACACATGTGCAAAGAATGAGTAATGCCATATGCTAATTGTGGTCAATATACAGTGAAAATGCCAATAAAAAATACTAATTCTGGGAAGAATCCCATTTTAAGTGTACTATTTATAAACAGAATGAGATTAGCTTGTTTTTTAAAATATATACGAGCAAACATTTGAACTAATCAAAACTATTTATTGCTGTCTACATATGAAAAAATACATCAGTACCATCAACATGCTTTGCTTCCAAAAAATTTGAATTAAATTAAAAAAAAATTTGAATTAAAACAGCCCAGTGCATGGACAAAAGCACAAGACAAACATGCTCTCACTGAAGCTGGGACATCAGGATGTATTCTTGCATCTAAAATCAGAGATATTCCTCCCTGGAGGAGATTTTAGGAACTTTTTTGCTGCAGTTTCCAAAAGCCTAGTGAAGTGCTCCAACCAGAGTGGCCATCTGACATTCGATCCAATAATTGTTTCAATAAAAGTGTTGTGTTCCAGCTGATTTAAACCCTTCCAACTCTGCTTCTTGTTTCACCAAAGCTCTTACCAGAAGATTCCTCATCCAACTTCCTCAACAGGAACCAGGTGGAAGAAAGACAAAGAGAACAATCCTGCTGTCTCACCTTCACAGACAGCTGCCTGGCCCTCTTGGGTCACTATTTCTTTTCTTTAACAGCTATATAAATTCTCCAAATCTTACAATCAACTATAGATAAAAATATCACAAATCTTGTCCTGCTCTTCACAATAACATTTAAACTGATATACTATCACTACTCAGTATTTCATAAACTTCCCCTAATGAGGTTATAACACTACAACAATCATATTTGCACAGGCAAAGGGAAAATGGCTACTGGAATAATTTTGCGCTCTGTGTCTACTTTTTTATGGCTTCATATTATTTTTCCTTGGATATTTATTTGATCAGTTCAATTTTATATATTATTTATATAAGACTGCTCAGAAATTACTAGTGCTCTTAACCTATTATTACTTAATCTCCTCCAAATCCCTACTCATATGTCATATTCCTTAAACACCACACAGAAAAAAATAGTAAGTGGCTGTAAACACATATGAGACAATACATATTAAACTGCTAAGGAAAATAAATATAATTCAGTATTTATACAAGAATTCTAGTGTTAAAATTTAGTTTGAATAGCAAGTAAATAGAGGAGCCAAAGGAGGAGCTGAGAATTGAATAGTTCATCCCTGAGATGTAAAAAAATATTTTTTAAATTTTTCATTTATTTTAGAAATGTGTGACAACTGCTAAACAGAATTGTATAGTCCTTAAAGCATTGGGCCTGTTCAGATTTCTATTGAAATATCTCCATCAAAACCAAAATGGGCTTTCCCTTGTCTACATTTAAGAAATAGTTATCACCAATCAATGTTTTCCCAGATTATAATACAAAGATTCCTGAAAATCCTTATAATTCTCCTAGGAGGGATCAGTCAAGGGAGATAAAAAAGCATCTGGGCAGGAGCCTTACATTCACTGCATGGAAGGACGCATCTCCACTTCAAACATAAAAAAATACTCAAACCCACTGTATTAAAAAATGGTACTTTAGCAATTTTGCTGCTAGACAGGTTTCTTCATGAGTACAGGGAAACTCCAGACTAACTCAGATACAAACTAGCTAGTATAGGGAAGATTTTTAAAGTCTACTGCAAGCTTCAAAAATGACTACATAAATACAACACCACCAAATATGACACCCTTTTTCTCAGTGGAAATTCTCAAATTTGCGGGAACACAACCACATCACCTCATTCAGATAATGAAATGTAATTAAAATGCGCAAACGAATGAGGTACAAAATAAAAAATCAGATTCTGGAAATCTCCCTCCCTTTCCAAAGCTGTTTTCCAGATTTTACTTCTTCACCTTTCAGCTGCTTTTGTAATCACATTTCATTGCTGTGAAAATGCTTAAGCTGAAGTTGCAAAGTACAGCAATGATGTAGGCTGCAAAGTACTTAGGATTAGGAGACTGCTTGGAAAAGGAAGCAACATGATCATCAAGTGAGGTCAAGCAGGTACAACCCAATAGAACTCAGTAAACCAGTTGATTAATGACAAACCAAGGGGATAAGCAGCAGTCACTCAATTTATCTGTGCCAGTATGACAGGGTTAGAAGGGGGAAAATACACAAATATGTACTTACAACTCTGAATTCTTTCAATTTTTTGTCCCCTTCAGAAACAGCTCAAATTAACAAACAGGTTCAGTCTTCATAAACACATTGAATTAAAATTCTCTGTCAATATGTAAACAGGCTCTGTATTACTATAGCAGTTTTAGGTGCAGCTAAATATGTTTCAATTTATACTTCAACACTGCTTACTTACAAGTGGCCTATAAAGCATTAAGATATGTTCAACATATAAAAGAATTGAAAATTAACTGTTAATAGTGACATTTTTCCAAATATTACTATCGTGAAGCAGAATGAATAGACTATTTACATGGTTTAGCAGAAGGAAATTCCAATTTATACATCAAACTGATGTATTGATAAATTGTATTGATTTTCATACCAATGTTTGGAACATATTAGATAGCAACAGATATTCAAACTACCACATTTCTCCCAAGAACAAGACCATACAGCTACTAGTTATTGATCTGGCTGATAAATCTACACAATAACCACTGTGTGTATAGGTAACCATGGTTCACTGTCAATACCACACCTGCTCTTCGCAGTTTAGTAGCCAGCACAACAGTACTTTTTTTCCATTTCAGTATTACAAGTGATCAGGTGAGGACAGAGGCCAACCTCATCCTTCTCTAGGGTTTTGTCCAGGGTGCTTTCAGGAGAAAGCATTTCCATTTCTCTTTTACAGCTGGAACAGCACAAATGGTCAATATGCTCCTGGAGAATCAGACAGGCTGAAGTAGGTAAACCCAAGCTTTTCCTGGTTTAATAGTCCACAAGCAACAGGCAAATCAAGACTGAAGAAGAAATATGCAGGAGTCAGCATAAGATAAAGCTGCATGACTTTATCTACATAAATTGATTTTGAAATTGTTTTCAGGACTACAGCATATGAAAGTAGCTGCTGCATCTTTACAGCAGCTCTGTTCTCTATCTTCACTTTCGCCTGTACTACGAAGCCCAAATGGAACATACCATGACTGCTCCTGTGTCATCCCATGAGTGGGGGGGAGAGGCAGAAGAAAACTCATTCATTTTCAGGACTGGCAACTTTAACTTACTGCTTAGGTGCACAGGAACTATGATCAACTACAAAATCCTACTGCCTTCTGGCATATAATGTCCCTAAGGATGGGATGTTTTCTAAGTATCATCTCGCCTCTTCCTCACTCAAGCTGTTTTTAATCTAGATACCAATGGGAAAATCCCAAGGACAGATAACAACTAGAACACATGCTTCTTTAGAGGGCTTTCAGTTCTCCCATCATTTTCTCTATTATTTCAGAGGTACTGAACTCACAAGTCTTGATTACAAACCCACTGAATCCAGCTCTATGAGGTGCTGTGCAGCAGTGGCACTCAGGATGGCCACATCCAGTGGCTTCACCTCAACATACACTCCTTATCCAAGCACTACCAAGATTTGTAAAGAAATTTTCAGAAGCCCATATACTTTTTCTTCCATTCTTATGTAACAGGAACCTAAACATGAGGCTTTGACATTTTTTTAATGTCGTTTACACGTAGGTCTTCGGTAAGGAGCAATGATCTTATCCTGAATAATATGAGAAGAGAAACAGGAAAATTATTGTCAGGCTTGTGATAATCTTAAAATATTTTCATTCAGCTGCACCTAGGCAAATCATTCCAGACAAATACAGTTGGGGTCCTACAAGTATTTAAAGTAGATGAGACAACCATAAAGGACAACACTAAGTCTTAAGAATTGTATATAAAATACTGAATTTAATAGTTTCATGAGCTACAAAAATCACATCAAAATTTCATATATATACAGTAAATCTTTTCAGAATGGATCATTTACACTTAAAGATGAAGACATTTTACACATAGAACTTGGTCTCTGCACCTAATTAAAATAGCTTTGACACAGTTTCACACAGTACTAAGATAAAAAAATAAAATAATCTTATCCTTTCTCATTGAAGCATTTGCATATGCTGCTATTTCCATTCTGCAAACTAAAAAGAATATTTAAATAAAGCAAATTAGTCCTGTAAACTGACATTTAAATAAAACACCTATACAGTTTAAATCCATCGTGAATGCAAGTTATTAAAAATATATCAAAACTGTTCAGCATAATGTCTGGACAGATATCTTGGTAAGCTCTGTTTTTCGTCCAGGTTCCAGCAGCTTTCTTCTAAAAGATTAAAGTATTTTCTGTCACCAGTCCATATGCATCAGTTTCAGATTCTAAATCATTCAAGTAGAACGGAGATCAATTTTGCCACCACATGTACGTTGAGGCTGTTTCCCAGAAGACGATAGCATTGCTTTACTGTTACCTTTTCAGGAAAACCTAAAACAAAAACATATAGTGCAACATCACTAGTCTGGGTTTGTTACTACTTTTTAGTCTTTTTTTTTTTCCAGTCAACATTTCTTAGTGCAGTTATCACAGTTTGCAGCAGGATTCACCCTCCCTCCAGCCCCCCTCAAAAAATGCATGAGGTTAGAAAACCAATTCACAACCAATTCATTGGATTTGTATCAGTTCTTCTATTACCAATACTACCATCTCTAAGATTTCACAAGAAACTTCAAAACATTCCTCTATTGTGTAACTACTGCTGATCTACCTTCCCTTCAGAGAGCTCAAAACATTCAGCAGTCTCAGGGAGGGGCAGCAGCACTAAATCCCTGCACAAGTGCTACTCCATATTGCATCCACAGAAGAACATGGCCACAGCAGAAAGAAAATGTGATATTTCTGCAGATGGACTAAACTGCACTTCTCAATAACCTTTATGTTGTACTTCCCACATGATCCCCTCTAATAGCTCAGGCAAATCACAAGTCTCTTCAGTGCCACCCATACAGATTAAATGATGAGCAAGGCTTATTCAGTGAGCGATCAAGCAGTAGAATTTTCCATGTAACTCAATGCTGACCACATTAAACATACTCAGAAATACAGACAGCATCAGAAATGTCCTTCTCATAGTAAGTGCATGGCCTGGCAGAAAGGAGGGAGTGCCAGTAAAAACTGCACTAGCCCAGGTGTTGTAGAAGGACAGTGTTGAGTACTGACTACCAAGCTGCTGAGAGTGAAGCAGTTTCGAGCAGCCAGCTGTCTGCTCTGTCCTTGCTTCCACTCTTACCTTACCCCAACTATGAGGTACAGTACATTTGCTTCAACCTGAGTGAAAGATGAACAGGAGTGGTGACTTAACTGTTAGAGTCATATAGTAAACTGCTGAAACTTGGCCACAATTATTTCATCATTCCCTATGAAGAAACACATAACTTTGACTCGGAGGTCATCACCACCCCAATTAACTCAGATGCACAAGCACACCGTAAGCACAAGCAGTGATATGTTTGCTCTGAAATTTTCACAACTCTTCAGAACAATTTCTCTTCCAGAGAGAGCTCAGGAGAGAATGTGCTTGGATGGTTACTGAGCCAAAGGAGGCTCTGAGGAAGAGGTGGTGTCTGGGAGGAGTTGTTCCATCCTTCCCTGCCAGTTATTAATGCCTCGAATGTGGACTGCTTTGGTAAACACATCTTCTGCCAGCTCCATCCACTCTGTCCAGCTTCCTGGCACTCACATTTGGGCAACTGCTCTTGTGTCTTTGGAACAATCACTTGCACTCCCATACACGCTTCCTTAGAGTTTTCACATTCCATTGATGAGTAAGGTACAGAATAAAGGCATTTGAAGAGCATACATGAAAATAAATATGTATTTATGCACATACACACATGTGCACACATAAACACTTACAGCCCAAGAAGCCTATTTGAATCTTGAAAATGTCAGAATTTCTCCTTCTACCTTTTGGCAACTGAAAGCCAAGAATTAATCTTCGGAACTCGTGGTTTCCTTTATCCCAAGCCTCCTCCCTCTGACTGTTAACATTGTCTTGCACTTTCTATCTTCTTGGCTCCACAGTGGCCTACATCAGGTTAGATTCAACAACTCCCAGTATGCTGGTGTTTGCTGCACAGCTCTCACTGTAGCATTTATGTCACACACAGTACCTGAGGACATTGACATCTTAGCAGCATGCACATACTTCCCTACCATGCTGGCTTTTGTTTCCTAAAAGCTTGCATACATTGCTAATAAGAAAAATGGAAAACACATCCTTACATCACTCTCATGAAAGCAGGTCACAGGTGCAAGAATGCTCTGTTCACATTTAATGATATTGCTGTGGGACCCACCAGAGTGACAAAGACAAATGACTGCAGTATTTCATTGAACTATAGTGCAATTACTATTTATACATTTAGATGTTAAAAGCACAAATAAATCTGGTCATGTTAAGAATGAACAATGACTGGACCTCACATATCAGAAAAGGCCATCAACTTCTTAAAATGCAGAACCATTTAGACAATCACGTTTCTTCTGATGATACTGTAGCTGCACTAGTAACAGCATCTGTTACAAAGAAGCTGACAGTCTGTTCACATAGTTTTCAGTTTACAGTTTCCTCATTCTTCAGTTTCTTGCACCAATAACATAGTTGCAATGGGTACAATTCCAAGCTTCCTGGTTTTGAAAATTTCAACCTAAATGTTGCTGTCACTACAGAACACAGTAGCAGAGAACTTATAACACATTTTGCTCTGAAAATACCATATTTCACAATAATTACTTGAAGTTTAGCATGGGAGAAATGCTTTCAGGGCAACACCCTTTGCTGCAGCCATAAATATATCCACTTCCAAAAAAAATAAAGAGCTTGCAAATTCTCAAAGGAAACTGAGATTACAGTACCTAAATTCACTAAAGATTTCTATCAGCCAAGATTCAAGTAATGCTTTTTTAAGCAAAAAATGGGAGAAGTTTTAAACACAAAGAAATGTCAGACTTGTGACTCAGTGCAGGGGGAAATGCATGTTCTGCCTATGACTCAGGAGTATATTCGAGAGGAAACCACTGAATGAGAGAGGCTTGCTTTATGTGTCATCAAAGTTGGAAAAGCAATATAGAGAGGGAAGGGAACTGCAAGAATTGTAAAACATTTACAAAACTACCTGCCATAATTATGGCAAAAGGGTACTCTGAGAGGTGGAATCCCAACCAACAAAAGACAGGTCTGCTATATGAACATATTGTTATATGGTGATGATCTGGATAATCCTCAAATTCAAAAGCCTGACTTGTCTTCAGAGTTCAGTTCTGGTTTGCAAAAATACTGAACCCCACAGATGTCTCTGCAGATGAGCTCTGAACAGAAAGCATGGTATCACTCCAAGCACTATGAAACCGTGAAAGTCAGGTTTCACAAACTGCTCACCCCAAAGTAATGGAGCCTTCCAAACATAAATTTCTCTATTGTCTCAGTTCTCCCTTTGTAAAATACAAGCAACATTAACCCTATTGCACCTCTCAGTAATGTTGCACAGTCTGATTTAACAGTGGAAAAACCCCAGTTGTATCTAAAAAAAGAGAAAATGGGAAATTTGGTGCTCAAAAGAGACCTTGAGCAGCATGATAAGCCTATACAAGCCAAATCCAGCTCTGTTAAGTTCAAGTATCTTGACATCAGCCTACATGAATATGGAAGAGAGCTGTGCTAAAAGGCTGTCTGAAAATAGAACAGATCCATTAAAGAAGAGAGGCTATGAAAAAACACTGCATGGTATGGTATGTAACAACACAGCACACTCTTGTGTGTTTATATTCATAAACACCTAAGCTTAGTGCTGGCAACTCTAGCTTCACTGTGCAACCTTGATAATATTCTCCAAAAGTAGCAATTTCAAATATAACAAGTAATATATGAAAAAACAAACTAAAATTGTGAAAGAAAGAAATACATAGAAACAAATCACATTTCTCAGAACTCTAAGTTACTGCAGAAGTCAAAGCAAAAAATGACAAATTACTCAAGGTCAGTGCTGTCTTATTCTTTGAGCAATCTGGTTTAGCAGAAGGGGGTTGGAAATAGATGATCTTTAAGGTCTCTTCAAACACAAACCTTTCCATGATTCCATGGATGCTTTTCTTGCTGAGTGACAATAAATTGATCTGATGTCAGCAGGACAGTTTCTTAGCAGATAGTAACAGCTACACTTTTACAGTAACAGCTGCTTGCCCTTTTTTACAAAGAAAATTCTGATTAATTTACTTCAGTTTTAATTCTTATTGAAGTGTATTCAGTGTACTGATACTGCTGAGTCTTGTTGCTTGACTCCTTCTTCAAAAAGAAAACCACTTAGAAAATGAAATAACTGACTAAGAACTGTCTTTTATAGAAAATAGAGATGGCTCAATAGATTGGTTACTCCTCAACAAAGAACTATCTGTATCATCTGAAATTCCCTGTCAGCAGCTGTAAATGTGTGGAAGGGAGAAGGCAAGCAGCTCAAACACTGAGAACCACAAACAGACTTCCTAAGCTGGCAGGATATGTTGATTTACCACAGTTGTGAGTAACACTGGCTGCTGAGTAAATAGTTTCAACTTTTAACAAAGGTATTCCTTCATTGCGCTTCATTAACAGAGCATTTTGCATGCCAAAACTTTCTTCTTAGCTTATGAAGAAAAGCTATATAAATAAAATAAATATAGACCTCACCACAGAAGCTGGCTCTTACAAAACATTAAAAAAAAACAGTAGAAATTTAGAGAAACAAAATTTAGCCAAACAACGAGAATCAACCAATCATAAGAACTGAGTGGTCTGAAAGAAATGCAAAATAAAAAGATTGGATTAGTCCCAGTAAAAAAAAAACCAAAAACATATATTGGCATTTCTGAAGAATAATGTAGAAATGGGTATTTTGCAGCACATACCAAATTCCAAAGGGAATCCATGAAGATTTGCTATTTCTCTTGGGGTAAAGTACCTCAGTTTTAGTGTTGACAATTTCATAAGCTTCTCTTCTTCTGGTAACTCGTCAATGTGTTTAAACACTGATTCAAGCTATGAAGAATATCAAAACCAAGAAATATGACTGATGCAGGCTAAATATGTAAAATTTACAGTCACATGTTAATAGAATATTTCCTTAATTATCAAAGTGACAAAGACAACAGCATGTTTTGCTTGAAAGCATCATTTGCATTCTGTTTTTGCAGCCAACATCTCAACACATGGACTTTCAAGAAAGAAATCAATGTTGCCATGAGGACATTCATAATTTCTTCCTCCAATTCCAAGCTATACCAATACTTAATGGGGCAATCAAAAAATAAACATTTTTTAATGACAAAGGACAGTGACTTAATATAACTCAATACCAGACCATTCATACAAATTAAGCTGTGTGGATGCAACTGTTTTAATACACTCACTTTGAGATTACTCTGAATTCCAGAGCTGCATTCCTCTTATACTTGGAAATGCCCTATAATATCATTGACCAGCACAGAAGTGCAGGAGGAAGGGCTTGTGTACAACACAGGCTTTGTGAAAAGTATCTTTGAATGCTGATTAACCAGTACTTTTATTACCTTCCCCAATGCCTAAATATCACTTGGTCATGAACTTACTACCAGCAGTAGAACTCTTCAAAATACTCTTCTCAGATAAATAAAAATTTTGAAAGTCAAACATGTTAAACATCTGACAATATTAACTGAACTATATACATACAAAAAACAGGCCATGATTCATAACAGTGTACTGTAGGTTCTCCATAGAACTAGTAATTTTTAAGGTTTTAACATATCCCTGTGAAACCTCTGTATGACATGACAGATAATAAAATAATAGCAACTCATATCCTCCTCACAGAGAGACACAGATATAATTTTGGTCTAAACAAACTGCTAGGAACACAAAGTAAACCAATTGGAAACTCAGTTGTCATAAAATGTAGATTGAAAAGATTTTTTTCATATAATATTCAGAATAACAACAGAGAAGACAGAAAAAACCACAAGTTTTGGAAGAAGTCTAGTGTTTTAAAAACAAGTCATTCTATGTTAGACTATATACTTACCTGTACATCTACTGCTGTCTGCAGAACTGAGCCAGTTCCTTCTACATAGTGTCCATACCTTAACAACAACAACAATCTTAAATTAATATTTTCACAGGATTTCATAGCATTGACAACTGCAAAGACACAGGGAGGTTATCTGGGTTCCTTTGCCTTGATGATCAAACAGCACCCTGGATAGATAAAGCAGAAAGCCTTGTTATAAATTCTGATAACCTCTGGAGTGCAGTACCCTCTGAATCTGCTCTCTGGGGATGAGTCTGCCCTCAGTGCTCAAGGGTTTATCCACACTAGTGTCTTATGCATGGCAACTACACACAGCCAAGGAATTCAAGCATAGGACCACCAAAAACCAACATCTACATTGCCTAAACCAATTTTACATTAAGGAATAATGCATTAAAGGTCAAATGGCCCCAGGGGTTCAAATCAGCTCTCCTTATTAAAAGGAGGACCACTAGTGTAAGCCTCCAGCTTTCATGTCAAAGCATTAGGAACAAAGTGCTTCAGTCAGGTTTAACTTCTGCTTCCTTGTGGTTTTTCCACTGAAGGAAGGGAGATGGCCAGGCATCTATGCAGAGCAGTAGAAGAAAGAAAGAAGAAAAAAATTAAATCCAAGTAAACATTAAGTAAACTTGCATTCTGAAACCTATGATAGCTGTTCTGCATGTTTGGTGGTTGATTGCTTAAGATGTTTACTTTGTAGTCTCTTCAAGGCTATCATTTAAATATAATTATGGGCTCTCAGAAACATGCTCTATTGGTTTAACTATGGCAATTTGAACATTCTGAACAGAAAGAGTGAGTCAAGACAACAGATGGCTTTGCCCTGTGGAGGAACTTCAGAAGATCCCCTGCCTTAGAGGGATGTGGTCTGCATCAATCGTTAACAGACACTCTTCTCTAGTTTAATCTGTACAACTGTAAAGACAATTATAAAGGTCTTTTGTTCCACTTGGGACCCATTCTTAAAGCACGACACAAGTTGTGTTTCAAGCCTCTCTAATTCCACAGTGAATAAAAGAATACTCTTCCTTCAGCACAGACACAATGACCCAGCATGGCTCAATCTTGAGTATTTCATCCTCAGCTGAAAAAACTACAATTAGATCTGCCAGTAACAGCCAGAGAAGCACCCATTTTAAAACAAAGTGGTTAGAAATCTTCTTCGAGATCAGAAGACCTAAACACTGTTACAGATTAAATACACATAGAACTTAACTGTTTTGTAAATACATCACCTTTAAAGGGTTAGCTGCATTCTGCAAATTCCCCAAACACAAAGTTTAACAATATAACACACACAGCACTGAGGAATCCTCATCCTCTTCCTCTTATATAGCATCTGGTAATAGTGCAGTTTAATATAACTGAGCCAAAATAAGTAAGTGGGATAAAATTCAAAGTGGTATTGAAGAGTTTTATTGGGAGAAATAAATACTCCTGTCTAAATAACTTGCATTAGAGTACAGAACTCCTCCCCCCTGCCCCCAAAAAAAATCCAGTTGGTGTCCATGTGCTTTGATGGCTGTGTGTGTGTGTGTGTGTTTTTAATACAAATGTGGGCATATGGCTAATGTAATGTTAGCTGGATTGTCATTAATTATTATTGAAGCTGCTGACCATGGTAAAGTTAACATTCCTACCTTAGACCCAGAACAATATTTATTGACATAATTAAATTTTGTCACAGTAAAAAAATGATGTATTGATTTTCTGACATTTCATTGCAAGTGATAATGAAAGAAGTTGGCTTAAGAAATTAGTCTTCAATTTTCATCTGATTCAAGATTCCCTCCCTCTTTTATTTCTGTAAGCTTTGAAAAAAAAATATCTTCTCATTTCATACATGTATTTTTTCTGGGTATATTGTGTCATATATTATGACTGACAAAAAGTAATTTCCACAAAGTGAGAAATCTCTTCTGTAATTGATATCTGCACTATTTCGAAAGGTATCGCTTCTCATGTCAATAGCATATCAAAAATTTTAAGTATGTCCAGAATGATTGTATCTAGAGAAGTTAGATATAATTTTCATTTTCTCTGTCCTTTAAAATAGTCAATTTCCTTTCAAAACTTCATCTGCCACAAACATACTCCCAAGAGAAACCATGGTGTTGGTAGTCTCACTGAACTCGGCAATCATTTACTAAGTGCCCAGGAATTCAGTGTCAGAAGGGCACACAGAATTACCTCCTTGATCTCTCACACATTATAGGCCATTACATTTTGCTCCACCAAAGCTTTTCAAAAGATATACTGGTATAGCAAAAATCAGTAAGGACTAGAGGAGCCATACCCAGATTATTTCAATCACATGAACCTTGCTAGAAAATACCTGAAAACCAAAGAGAAAAGAAGGAAAATTTTCTCCCATTCTCAAATGCAACTTACAAGAAAGACACCAGACAGGCACAGCAGCAGAGGGATTCTCTGTATTACTGTTATTACTATTATTCTATTATTACTGGGAGGGCTGTTCCATCCCGTTCAGGGGTCTTTTTCCTAGATCTCATGTTTCAGAGAAACATGAAAGCAGAACTTCTGGAACAGATACAGCAGGGACTTATTCTTGGCCTTAGAAAGTGACTTTAATGAAATGTAATTATAAACCTTCTCTTAATACAGAGCTGTAAACGAGATGATTACATTGAGAACCATGCTGGCAACCTTCCTTCCCAAAGGCTCTTGAAATACAGAACAAAGATGGTAAATCAGACAGAATTACCACCACAAGTACCTCCATATCAGCAGAGGGTTAAGAGTCATGTTGCCCTGGTGTCACATTTCCACTGCTGTGTACAGAGACTTGATAGGAACTATTCAGGAGCCTCCTTCAGTGTGATTTTGATAAACATGACTACAAACTACCATGACGTATTCTAGTGAAATCTCAAGTGGCTAGTTACTTTCAATGACACATAAGGCATATGTAAGACACATCAGACACCATTCTGGCTAAAGGGTTTTTTTGACTACTTAAGAAAGAGATTCCATGAGCTGCTGACTCTCCTCAACTCAAAAGAGTGAGGGCAGAAAAGACACATACATATATATCAATGAGAGCTGAGAGAAGGCCTTTCCCATTGCACAAATTTCCAACTTTTGAAATGATTTTTCTTCTTTATTGTCTAAAAGTTAAAAATAAAAATAAAAAAAATCTGCAGGAATTCTGTCAATCTGGCACTCTAATTACTACTAATTAAAAAAAAAAGTTACAATTAGCTTTAACTCATTATCCAAGCCATTTTATTGAAACACTCAGCAAATTCAAAAAACAAATCCAATTGGAAAAATTTATCAGCATTAAAAAGTCTCACGAATTTGCAGGCTCCAACTGGAATGTTTCAATACAAATGCATTCAGTGGAAAAGCTCCTCACCAGTTGTCCATGGAGTTCCAGAACACTCACCAACTTCCAGAAGTCAAACTTAAATTTGCAAGGTACAAATCAAGACAGAAAAGCACCAATGTTCTGCTCCATCAAATATGATTTTAACGCAACAACCTAACTGGTTTCATGACAATCCACAGCTATTCTGATCTACATAGCTGAAAAATCCAAGAAATCAATAAAATGTACAGTGGAGACAGATTTAATGAGCAATGGATCTGTCATGCATGACACTTTGTAACTTCATTGAGCAATATAAAGAAATTCATTAATGAATCAGCACTATACCAGTCTACTGGAACCATATTTCCGCAGGGGTAATTAAGCTTCTGTGAAGGTCAACAACAATGGGAACTGTCTTTTGTGAATGCCTTTTTGGAGTGGGCACATGATGTTCTGCCAGACGGATTCTCATGCAGGCATTCCACTGGACCAACAAGCACGCTATATATGGAAATTTCTTTCAAAGGCCTAGGATTTTTTGATGAAACACCTCTCTGTGTGATTTTACAGGACATAAGAGAGAAAATATACTTAAAATTTCAGGACATGATTTAGCAAGACATTTTATTGGCAACTTACCCTTTTGTAAAACACGTGGATCTCCGGCAGGTGGGTTTAACAATGTCTAACAAGAAAGCATAGCGCAGTAAGGACTTTGGCGATAAAAAATACTGAGTCATTTCTTCATTTTCCTCTTCCAAGAAGTCTTTCAGCATTTGAATAGAGGAATCATTATCCTGATTATGTTTCCTTTGCATTTCTTCTACTGTTTCAAGCTTAAATAGAAAGGCCCTTTTGGGTAAACTCTCCTTGCTGCTACAATCTGGATCAATGTTTGGATGCAGATTCTTCTTTTCAGAGGACAAAGAAGAACTGGTTTCACTCACTTTGTCAGCAACCTCTTCACTGAGTAAATCTTCTGGATCCTGATCTGGGAATCTTGTCAATATCTAAGAGGAAATTGTGACAAAATAAAATTAAAGAACTGTATTTAATAAACAACTTGACAGCCAACCATACAGTGAGTAAGAATTCCTTCAGATATGTTCAGAATAAAGCAAGTAACCTTTAGATGTTATTTTCATGGGGTTTTCAAACACAATAGCATTGAGATTTATTGATCTATTGGCAATGATGTCGGAACAACCTCAAATAATTGCATTTGCAAAAAGATATTTCCAAGTGTGTAAAAAAGGTAGCAGTATGACCTGTTTTCTAGCCCACCACCAGGCTAGAAAACACATCTCCCAACTGCTTAAAGCCATCTAAGCAACAGATATGCACATCAGTCCTTACAAAGCTCAATATCCAGGCTGAAAAAAGCACACAGAATTTAACTTTTCTGTTGAAGTACTAATTCTTCTTCTCCATTTGTCAACACAAGCTGAAAATTTTACCCTCAATCTTCATGAAATGAATAAATTCAAGTAACACGAATAGACTCACTTGACCAGGAGCTTGAAAGGAAAATGGTTCTTGGTGAAGCCTCGCAATTAGAAAATACCGCAGCCTAGAATTGGGAATGCCAAGCTGTAATCAAAATTCAGAAGCCTTTAGTCCATGTGATAGTTGAGATAAAGTGGTCTATAGCATTATACAAGTTATCTGCCATTACATGCAGTAACAGAACTATAACATATTTTGTGACTTCAGAGATATCAGTATTAACAGAATCAGAGATTCATAAAATGCTTTGTGTTGGAAGGGACCTTGAAGGTCATCTAGTTCCAAGCCCCCTGCTGTGGGAAGGGACACCTTCCACTAGACCGGGCTGCTCAGAGCCCCATCCAACCTGGCCTTGAACACTTCCAGGGATGGGGCATCCACAGCTTCTCTAAACAACCCATTCCAGTGCCTCACCATCCTCATCAGAAAGAAATTCCTCCTGATTCTAATCTAAAACTATTCTTTAATTTTGAATCCATTTCCCCCTTGTCCTGTCACTTCAGACTCTTATAAAAAGTCCCTCTGTCTTTCTTGTAGTCTCCCATCAGGTACTGGAAGGCTGCAATTAGGTCACCCTGAAGCCTCCTTTTTTCCAGGGTATTCTCTGGGTATTAGTTGATAACACCTACACACTTCTAACTTCCATACCTAGGGACTTCCAAAGAACCAAGTGAGCAATTATTCTTTGTATCTCATAGTTTTGACTTTCACTGTAACTGAATATGAAGAAAATTTTATGTGATGCAAGAAGAAAAATTTACATGCCTCATGATTTCTTGGGACAGGTACTATCTGTTTCCTGTTGAAAGCAAAAAAGTCTCTCTTTGCCTTTTTGAACAAGGAATTATAAGACACCTAACAATTAAAAAAATCTACCACAATTGGTTTTCAAGCTACACTCGATTAGCGTCTCTCAAATATTTATGGTACTTCACTGATTCCAGTTAGTCTTGCACAATCTAAAATCACTCTCAAACTTTTTTTCAGTTGCCAGGGTAACATGGAAACAAAGCTCCTCCTCCCACAAGAAACAGTCACATTTTCTGTGCTGGGAAATCCAGAGGCACAGCACTTCTGAAGCAATGAGGCTCCTGCAGGGAAAACCACCTTCCTGGTTACAGTGTACGTTCATGCCTTCTTAAAAATATCAAATGGCAGCAAAGCAATATGGGACTAGGATCTGAACACAAACAGCAATACGAATATGCCAGTATGAGAAATTAGAAGTCATGTCAGTTGGTTTTCTCATTCAAGTGTATCTTCAGCTTTAGGCATGACTCTCTTTTTTAATACAAAAGAGAATTTTCAAATTTTCTTGGACTCAGTGCAATTTGAACTATTAACTAATATTAGAGCAATTTTAGTACTCACACAGGTTGGAGACAAGAGAAATTCCTGATATTTAAATCCACATGTTGCTAGTGTTTGCAAAAGTTCATTTCTGAAAGGAATAATAAAGCAATTACTCCCCTCACATAGCCATTAGCCCCGTTTTTAATCCTAAATAAAAACAGATTAAATGCAACATCATATTTACTAAAGCATTCATTGAAATAATTGGACAGCAAATTATTGATACATCATCCATTACTGAATTTGAGAGATAACATAGGAAGTTCAGTGTTACACACTATTATACATTCAATGGCACCTCAGTCTTACTACAGTGCAAATACCTCTTCAAAAAAACATCCCATCTCTAGGAGAGTAACTGTAGTGTGTCAACAAGGAAAGCAATCAGAGGGCAAGATAGTCTCTTTATTGGGACTCACTACGTCCTTTTGCTCACATACACAGCACCAGCCAAGCCTAACAAAAAGGCTAAGTTGAGGGATGACAAAAATCAGTGGCTTTGATTATAAAAGTGAGGTGGGACTACTTTATAAACAATGGAAAAAGACTGTAAGGGAAAGAATCTTAAAAATACTTTTCTTTTGTATTCCATGCAGACAGCACTAGGCTGGAACTATACAAAAGGCAGAAGCTGTGACCTGTACCAGGCACTGCATGTGAGACTGCATCCCAGGTGTCGTAAGAGAAAACAAGTGTCCTAACTGAGGTGTTTTCTGAAGTACAGCTTGTCCCAAGCACTGGCCAGCAAGGCAAGGAATCCTGGGCTCTACAAGAGAGGACTGTGATCACTGAACCAGTGAGAGAGATTTCAATGTCTCCCAGCTGCCTGCCACATTCATTAAGAGCATGATACGCAGGGTGGCTGTTGGTGCTTTAAGGAATGCATGGAAAGACCCCACTCCATTCCAGCAAGAACTGAGAAGGAAGATTGCAACTCTCTTTCTCCTACTTTGGTCACAAGAGAGGAGAGTGCTCCTGCTGTCATTAGGTAACTGTAGTGACACCTTTCCTCTTCCACATTTCAGATTAAGAACCTTCTTAGTGTATCTCTGACCATTTAATGGCAGCCCTGAACCCGGGGATAATCTACGATCAACAAAGATACTCAAGAAAGCCGCTAGACTGTTCTGTGACCATAACACAAGATACCATGGCATCCTGTCATGAACAATCCCCTGAAACCTCTGAGTGTTACACCTTTTGTTATTTTTCTTTGAAAAGGAATTCTGACCTTTTCTAAAGAAAACATCAAATCAAATCAAATCCACATCAAATAATATAATAAATAAAATACTGTTGTATTTTATCTGCTTAGAGACATAACAGGTTATTTAGCAAGTTCTTTTCACAACCTAAGATTTTAATTCCTGTCCCATCTCAAACTATTTTGTTAACTCCAATGCTAGGAAATAAAAATCCCTTCTAAAGAATAAATCACTTCTCCTTCTAGAACAGAATCCTTTTTGCAAACTAAAACCTGCATATATTAACAAGAGTTTACCTTGCAGAAGAGGATTCAAATCCTTTAACGTTTTCTAAAAGTAGGTATTTTGGAAGCTTCTGAAGCCTACAAGGAAAAAAAAGCAAATCAGAGTAACAAGTTGTAACGTACATTATATTCATTCACTGATCTGTTTAGCTAGGAGAAAGATCAAAGTATTTCCACATCATGCTAGCTGTTAAAGTTTAGCATCCTTTAAAAACCAACCATATTAAAAATGCAGACTGCTGGTGAAAACCACAAATCCCACCTATATTTGGATGAAGAGCTGTACCCTCTTGTACTCCATGCATGTACTTTTGAAAATGTTTAACACTGTTCATTTCCTAAAGCACAATAATATTATTCAACAGATTCAGTATGTAATAGGAAATATAACTGTTGGGGGAACACAAATTGCTACTTAGCCATAAAACTGTTGTTTTCAAGTTGCTTGTACCCAAAATCAATGTCAAAATGTCACATAAACCTTACTGATAACACATCAGAACCAGTATTAATTTAACTGATTTAAGAAACACAACATAATTAGAGTTCAAACTGCAGATATTCTCAACTTTCTAAACTTGACTTCTTTATTTTGATGGGGGGAAGGGAAGGAGGTGTCTCAACTTTAGCAAGATCTGTACAAAGGTCTGGAAATAGGCACATTCCAAGAACAGCATATTAAATCTCTGGAGAAATTGACATGCCCAAACTGTGCCAGCAGCTCTAACAATTGTTCCAACAATTTAGAAGCATGATTCAGACTGATTCAGATTCAAGTCTCTGGTAACATTCCGTAGCACTGTAGTAAGGCCATTGTAGACACAGAATGTCTCTCACACACTGGGAGGATCTCAGAACAACATACAGAAGTAGGATATTAATGCCCCCAGACAGCAGGTTCATACTTATTGAAGTTAGTGACTTTGGACTTCCACTGGAACAAATCATAGCAGAATTTGTTTCAGCACATTTTTAATTACCACCAATTAAAGTCATCACATGAATAAAAGAACCAATGCATTTCACAAGAAACTGGAAAATCTACAAGAAAATAAGTCAAATATAAAAATACTAAAAATAATAGTGAAAAAATAATACTAAGCTGAAAAAAGCAGCAGCAGCCAAATTCCTTGCAGAGGAATGGAGAATATATCTGCTGTTATGTCTACCCACACTCCTCATCATTGACTACTATGAAACTTCTTTTTCAGCAATGAATCCAGAGCACAGCCTGAAATGCAAGCACTCATAGGGGATCGACAGATCACAAGGCACATAATCACTGTACAACAAGGAAGTGTTAAGTAGTTGGCAAGGTATTAACATTAAAAATGTTTCTGTAAAAGCAGCACTTTGATGTTTTAGCATTGAATTTTGCCAGGTTATGGCTTGGACACAATAAACAGACAGTATCTGGACCATTTGAATTGGACTTTGTTTGCTGGCTGAGTGCTTCAAGGATTTCCTAGGCCTTTCCAGATCTTAAAATTGTCCTTTCCATTATCTCTAATATTTGTCATCCCAGGCTACCTCTGAACCTCATTTCAGCAATATTTCATTATAAAAGGCTGAACAAAAGGTAAGTACATCCAAGGGATGAGAAATTATTTCACACTTTTCATAAACTGCATGCATACCATATCAATGTAAAATGTAAAGGGATAATTCCTATATTAAGAATTTCCTTTTTTGGGGCTGAAGTACTCCATACTCAATGTCTCACAAATGTATCGTATTCAAAAAACACATAAGCACTATCTTAGTAAAACACAAATCCACTGGAATTGAGAAACTCTACAGAAGCCATCATGGTGAACCTTCTAGTGACTACTTGGAGTAGGTGCTACTTCAAGAACCCTCCCCAAGGAGATAAGGGACATTAGCAGTGTCTCCTGGAATATTGAGATAAAAGTGAGACAGCCAAGCCCAGGTCTTTTGCATCGTCATGATAAAAATAAAGGTCCTGGAGTGTCTAAAGCTCTGGTTTTGAGAAAGAAAAGCTTCTGCTGTTCATGCAGCTAAGCCCACAGCAACTGGGAAGCAATATTTTCATATTCATGCACTATAATGTCCAAAAGCAGCCCGCCTCTTAACCATGTCTCAGTTTAATGGAAAGGAATCCCCAGGTCAGGATGCCTTTAAGGATATAGAAAGTACTATTATTCTGACAAATTATTAACTTACTCAGTAACTGCCTTTTATTTATTTATCATTTTAACAATCAGTTAGAAACCTGTTTACATTTCTTACTCCACAAAAGACATCCTTTGCAACTTCTAAACAACCCATGTTCTCCACCTAATTTTGTGCGTCTGACAGAAGCAAGGGAGTAGTAATAACCTAGGAATTGCCTAACTTACTGGGCTACACTATCTGTGGTTTGTTCTGTGTTCTCTGACACAGATTTCTTATGTATGGCCTTGCCAAGCCACTCAGCCATACATGGCATTGTTCTCTCTCTGCTCATGGCAAGGGCATAGACACAGTTCCATTTCAGGTTGTTGGCTGCATGAAGTTTCTAGAACAAGGATGAAGACCCTTTTCTCCCAGTGATAACAGCAGTTTGAAAGAAAGGCTTTTTGGTATTGGCTTCCTTTTGTGTTGAAGGCATTCATAAAAAAAAAAATTAAAAAAAAAAATGAGATACCAAACATTCATCTGCCCTTCTCCAATCCTTACAGCAAGATGAACTCATGGAGGAATATACAGGGAAGAGCTGTCCTAGTCTCCAGGTGACACAAGACTGCCATTAATACAAATAATTAAGGCTTTTTTATTAGGAACTGGATCTGACCAGGCAAAAAATGACAGATTAATACAAAGACTCTATTCACACAATACAGTGCTATTCCAATTCCTTAGTATTACTACCCCAAACGAGACATGGTGCTACAACCAAAAATACACAATTTGCCCCAAGATACCTAGCAGCACCAAAAAGGACAGAGATTTCAAGAAAGAATGGAAGACATTGCAAGATGACTAACATTGTACAGTCAATAACATATTTAAACCAACTTTCAAATGGTAACTCTTTGAAAGATGACTATATGTTGAATCTAAGCTTTTGGAACCCAGTATTTTAAAAACTTGTCATGTTTCCATGAGACTAATATACAAACTATTATATTACCTATTGCTTCTATGTAAAATCTACGCAAATTTGATGTTTAACTGATGTTATTTGATGTAATTTGATGTTTAACTTTCTTCTCATTTATCATCTAGGCACAGTTTAAACTGACATGCAGAAACCAGACAACAAAAGCATACACAGCAACAATGAGGTGATTACAGCATTAGTAAAATACAAGTATTTACATATGATCATATATACCCATATATAAATATATAAAAAAACATATAAAAACCCAGAATACAACACAACACTAGAAGTATCCCTCTAAAACATTACAGACGTCTTGTCTCACAGAAATATAGAGGACCTAGTTACATCAAAGCCTTAGTTACAAAAGGGGCTTTACAATGGAAACAGAAGTTCATTTGTACCTTGGGAGAATATCAAGGATATAAAGAAAGCTCTTCGTCCGTGGATCGGACACATCACCTTGCAGGCCAATTCTAAGAGAGAATAAAGAAACACCAATGTATTACTAAGAGCAGACTGACAATTGAGTTACATTTTTCTACAGAATGCTGACACTTTGCTTTGAGTTTTGAAAGGGGATTCTGCAAAAGCATCACGTACAGACAGAGGCAGTGTCCTGAGAGATGCTCTAAGGAATGAAAGTCTGCCCCTGGAATCCATCAGCTCACTGCAAGGTTAAAATTGAAGCATTCAGTAATGAAATCCACTCCCCAGTCTGCAAAGTCTTTAGCATTCTGGTCTTGTCCAGCAAAGCCTTTGAATATACTTGGCTCTGAATGAACAAAAAACCCCCACTGGGTTTCTGGGAATACCCTGCTATTTTGCACTGAATATATTAAATTATTTCTACGAATTAAAGCCTCTTTGTTCACCATTTAGCAGGATTGATCCCCATGTGAATAACTTCGGAACCAATTTTGTAACACTAAACTGGACAGATTATGTAGGTTACAAAAAATGATAATGATTCCATGCCTGTTTCTCTAGTTTATACTTGTAATAGCTCATTAAAAAAAAAAATAAATAAAAGCTTTGTAGAAGAGCTTTAGTGAGCTTTAGCATGTATCTAAATTAATCAGTCACACAGATTTTTATTTTCATCGTATTATAAAGAAAAAAATCTGAAATGTTTCCTGTATACATCGTAGGTTTGCACTAATTCATTTTTATAGAACAGCACCACTCTACAGAGATTTCTTTTCAATCTTAGAACATTCAATGACATATGCTTTCTTACACAACCAGAATTATCACCATCAACAGACTTTTTTCATGAAGCCACTACTTTGCATGAGTGCAGTTACTAGAATCTTACCCCACTGGTTACTGCTGTCCAATGATATGAATTACAAATTAATCTGACAAATAACATCCCAGTAAACTCAGTCCTTAATCAGGAAGATATTTCTCTTTATCATCCACAAAATCATTTCAAAGCCATTATCCTTCTGGTCTTGGCTAAAACAGAAATATTCTTCAGAATAAACTATCTGTGTGCATGTGCAATTTTCAAAGTACAAATGGAACCAGATTACACTCTGAAGTCTCAGGCAGAACTGAAACATTCCAACCCTCCTTCTGGAGTTGCCCCAGGAAAATATTAGATTGATATCTAAAAGGAAAAGGCAGCACTCCTAAACACTAATTTCACTATTAAAGGAATAATACAGTTCACAAAATCAGTGCTGTAAGAAGCTTACCTAACTTAAACTGAATTAATGTACACATATGCAAGAAATGTGATCAACAATTAAGATGCAAATTGCTGCACTTCTTTCGCTTCAGTAAACATCACGGTGAACAGAGCTACAACAAATCTCTTAGGAAGAGAAAGATACACAGATCACCCATACATAGTGTCACTCGTGATAACATTTCTCCTTTGACCGTATATAGTGCTATAACTGCACTTTTCTCCCAAGCATTCTGTACCTACCTTGTAAATGGCTGACAGGGAGGACTCATCAAAATCATATCAAAAGATAATCTGTCAAATTCTTTCAGTGTTATGCCCTGACAACAGAAAAAAATAGAAGAATGTTGAGTTGTGAACTGTATGAAATTCCCAAGACATCTTTCAGATCAAACTACCCCTCTTACTTCCACTGCATGCTGTATTCAGCAAAAAAATACCTAAACTCTCATTTGACCTAGCAATTTCAAAATCTTTTCTACCTTGGCAAACCATAAAATGTAAATATGCATTCAGTGCTCTGAATATAAAACAAAACACTGATAAGGTTAGCATTTATACATAATCTTGAGGTTTGTATCTGCTCATTCTCTGAGGTGTGCAGTGATTCCTTCAGTAGATACCGACCTGTTATTTCTCCCAAAAATAAAGTATCATTATTCAGATACAAAGTCTTTGTACATCAAAACCAGTGTTAACATACTGAAAATATGTGTAAGAACATCTGAGAATGAAAGTAGCTCAAGTGTAAATATTATCATTTTTACAGATCCAAACAATGTGTTTTAGCTCTTAAGAGTGCACTGGCAATGCACCCTATAAAGCTTATTTCAGATCTTCCCCTATAAAAATTAGTCAAAAATACTGTCTGGTTGAAATTCTCCAATATACAAAAATTATTCTGCTCATAAAAGAAATAATTACGTCTGTGGTAGGAATTAACTACACAGGTAGAAATTCCTCTAAACTAAATTTTCACCAACACTAGAAAGTCAACACATTAAGGGGAGAGGAGGAAAGAAGGACAATGATCAGGTAACTATGACTTGGACAAAGAAATCACTCCTTACATATTCTGAGGGATATCTATACAGCAAATGTAACATAGCTACCCTCTGAAAACCAGACAAAAGCTGCTGTTTTTTTCCATTATATTTGTAGAAGGTGTTATTGACTCTAATAATCAGATCTTGTCTACTATAAAATGACACAGGCAAGGATTCTTCTTTTTTTTCCATTATAAAACTATAAACTATAATTTAGCCAGTCATTATTGAGTGCTGAATAAGCATTTAACCTTTTGCCACCTATTTACCTCTTACTTAAGCTGGTGTCTCAAAACAGACACAGTATCTTTTACTGTCATGTTGTAAAACCATAAAAGAAGATTAAGAAGTATATGGTAACTTCTGACTCAATCCAATCAAAACTCCATGCCTACCTTGCCTCTCATTTATTAAAACAAAATCTAATTTTACTTAGCTATTTTTCAAATAATTTGGCAAGTGACAGAACTCCTAAAACATTTTATCTATTGAGCCCATTAAAAAAAGATTCAAGAGTGTTCAATCCAATATATTTTGCTGTGTTTCTCTGAACCCAATTATGACTGCAAAACAAAGGCATGCCCCCAAGTAATTTAATTAATTTTTTTTGAAGTACATGAAAATATTTTTTTTAATCTAAAAATATAATTTTTGACATTCCTTTACCAGTGGTAAGCGTTCCTCTTGACATTTATATAACCTTTCTTGATGTAGCAGGCAAGACTTTAAGGAAAAGCCTGCAATATGAATATCCCTCTTACTTCAACAAGCCACCACAGCACAGGCAATCAAAGTTATTGTAAAACTGCTTTATTCGTAATAACGTAAATCTTTATGTTTTTCTTGTTACTAATAAAGACAGTGAAAACAACTTACATCTTACAAATGCCAGACTACAGTAAAAACCACAGTAATTACTCACCTCAATAGTCTTCGCCCACAATGGTGTGCTGGGAAAGTTATGCTTATAAACATCATTGGCAAGAGTGTTCACATCAACAGCAGCTACAACTTCTGCATATGTGCAGCTTTCTAAAATTAAAGAAAATAATTTGAAAACTCTAGCTTCTCTTTACTACTCTTAGAAAAATGTACTTGCTAACTTTGCTAATTTGTGCTGTAATGCAGCTGTGCTACAGCATCGCTCAAAAACAAGGCAAATTACACAATCAAATTCTGCTCTGTAGTCTTAGAAACTTTGTATAAAAAAACAAGGAACTGTTTTTCTAATCATATGGGCAATACTTCCTTTCTTTATATATCCAAAAATGGAAGCTAGCGGCACCTAATTAGTAGAAAAAAAAATTCAAAACAGGGTGCACCTCTTCAGCATTTCCACCTCTGTACAGGTCTCTGTGGCCAGCAAGTTCCCTGGCTACAGGAACCCCAAGTCAACCTGCCAAGCCCCATTGCCACTGCCTTATCCTCTGACAACTTACAAGAAGTAAGTGCGTTATTTTAGAGGTGTACTACTTCTCATTATGAAAAAATAGCACCAGTATGTTTAACATATGTCTACTTTTCCAATAAAATTTTAAATTGCCTGAAAAACACTTGCACTTACATTTCAGTAAAGCCTTAGGCCTCAAACTTAACTGATGCCTCCTTTGAGCTACAGATCCCAAAATACCAAACTTGTCACCTTCTCCTCTCTTGGATAGAGGTGTTATTGAAGAGGCCAGTGTAACAAACTCACAGCTAAAACCCTGAAATAAAAATGCACTAAAAAGAATGTAAATAAACAACTGTTAATTTATAGAGTAAGAGAGTAATAGGTTCTACAGCAGCTAAAGAGATAAAAAGAGCAGTGTTTACTCCATTGCTCATCATGTCACACCATTTGTTATTACTAAACACAATACCTTCACTGAGGCTTTTTATCCAAGAAGATGGGCTGTGGTTACTGTCACAGCTGCAGGTAGAGAAGTGACCCTTCCTCCTGATACCTGAGATCAGTATCAACCACCAGGATATTTACATTATGGTCAGCATTACAAAGCCTCAGATGAAACACAGGCAATTTTAAAAAAAACTTTTGTAAACCAAAAGAAACAAGGCAAATAGCCACATGCCTTTGCATAACCTCACAATAGCTCAAGTAACACATTAACGGATGACCTTATGAGACACCGTATGAATTACTTCTAGTCAGCTAATTATTTACAGTTTGAGAGGATGAAAGCCCAACTAGGATGATCCCAGTGGATTTAATTTTGAATAATGCAGTTACCATCCATCTACTATCTTTCAGGTTTTCAAGGCTATCTTAGTCAAAACTAGGATGAAAGAGAAATCTGGGTATTGAAAAGATTGTAGCAGACATTTTAACAAGGACCAAGCTGGTTCTTCCAGGTTTACTTGGTGCAACTGAGGGTAAAAAGATAACGATTTTCACAAGATAAATACTTACAGACCATTAAGGGTCAACATACAAATCACTATTTACCATTACTGTCTTGACTTTTTGACCACAAGTTGTAACTGAGAACTAAATACAGGTGTATCCACAAGGACAACAGAACGACTACACCTGAGATTACAGAACAGGTATGTTAACACTGACACCTAGCGTGAAAAGAAGCTGGATTAATATCTCAATTTACAAATGTATTCAAGAACCAGCACTCTCATCTTCCTAAAACAAAACTGCAGTATCTAAATAACAGGAACAAACTTCCAATACTGTTAAAGAGACCACTTTTCTCACTTACTCCTTCGGTTCTTAACACACTAACCCCTGCTGTGTTTTCCAGGTACTCCAGAAGAAAAATAAAACTTAAAAAATCAAAACACGCAAATTATTATCTAAATTAACACAAAGGGCAATGGAGAAGGCAAGCTGTGTGCTTTCTTTCACAACTCATGATTCAGACACTCATTTTTACTGCCATCCATCCAATATCTCCCTGTGTACATACAAGAAAAAAGAGCTACTGAGGACTTCACAGGCCCAAAAGCCTGGAGATACTGGGAGAGAGTACACAGCTGATTGAATCTCCTTCCAATACAATGTTCAGTCTAAACCAGAGATGTAAACCAGCATGGAAAAAGGACAGAAACTTTTCACAAAGTATTCCCCCTGAGATACTCTCTTCCTAATTCAAACACCTGATAACTTTTTAAAAGCTTCTCCTCCTTTTCATCTAAAAGCTGCAGCTCACTTGGGAATTCCCGTTACGGAACAGACTCCCTCTAAAAGCTGATTAAGCGTATTTGTGTGGAAATGCCCTGGAAACGCATGAAGGAGCTTGAGCAGACAAGCAGCTCTCACACATCCAAGCTAACAAAGAAAAGCTTGTGTAAATTTCAAACAATGTGAAAATGCAACATTTTTTAAAAACTTCTCCTGAAAGTTAAATAACTTTATGTCAAACTGCGATATTCTGATTTTCTATAGAAATTACATTTACTACTTGAAAATTACTATAAGGAATGCATCATAAAAAAGCCTGAAAGCAGAGTCTAAGAAAAACAGAATCAAGACTGCATGTAACTATCCCCACTGACAAAAGGCACAAAACCAACTTGGGAATCGCTGACTTAGTGGGATGTTAAATCAACTCCCCAAAATATATAGCAGAATTTCAATACAGAAACAGACATAGCTCTGGAGAGTTTTTTATCCCCCTCAAACAAGTACATCCAATTTTCAAAACCCAGATATTTAAAAGAATTACGACAATGCAGATAACAGTATCATTTTATTCAGACTAAAGAAAAAATAACACACATTTCCTAAGTGAAACTAAGAGGCTGCTGGAATACATGATTTGAAAGATTCCTCAACAGCAGTTTTTGAACTGGGATTTTAATTTCTGAGCAAGATTATATAGTTTAGATGGAAGCCACAGACATGAAAGGGAAGTTACTGAGGAAAGTGTTATGACTTATTTTTAGGCAGACTAGATTGTAATATTCTCTCTTGGCTGAAAGCAGGTGAAATCAAATTTGTATCATCCTATTAGTAATGTACTGATTTCACACTTAAAGCTTAAAACCTCTTGGATCCAGACAGCAGAAACTCTTTGTCTTAAGCTGCCTAAAGAGGCAGCAATCACACTCTGGGTCCCAGTTCTCTACTTTATTGAATACACAATGCTTACAAGTCCTTTTGGCTATGGAGTTGTCATTCTTGAGGGAAAGGGACACTGCTGTAAGGACTGGAAGGTGATGCATTTGAAACAAAGAAAGACAGGATGTTTGCATTAGCTTGATTTGAAGAAGTAAACCCAAAGAGTGTCGCCTTCAAATGCCAGAAATAAAATTTCTGACATTACAATATCTGTCCTTTTCCTCTTCAGAATTGATTCCTTTGTCATGTGTTTCTACAGACCTTAAAATTAACATAGATCTGTTTATATTCACTACTGTACTTTTGAAATAGAGTCATCAATGTCAACAGAACACATGAAATACACTGTGTTATAGCAAGGGCAGTTTGGTGGATTTCAGCATATTGGAAAATAGGAGCCAGAACAATTATCTATTCTAACAGGTATATGGAAACAGATGGAAAAGGGAAGATTAGTCACAAGTTTTGTCAGTCCTGCTTCCTTTTGAAACAGAGAGCAAAGATTTAATTTCTGAGTTGTCAGCTCTTGGCTGAAATGATTAGGCTGAACTGTCCATGGCTACAGTCAACATGACTATCAGCAAACTTGATACTTGCTTCCTGCAGGATACTTAGCAACTTCTTTCACTGCTCTATTTGTACAGGATTTGATCATGTTAAGCCACATAAACTTTATAAACTTACATTATAGCACAACTGGTACTATCCTGTGCTACAAAGAGCTATATTTTGGAGAAGCATTAAATTTAGTTTAGTTGTAAAAACTCACTCTAACCAGCAATATTTTTGGTTTGCATTGTACTGAATCCTAAAGCTCCTTGCCAATTTTGTCTCCTTTGCCTCTCCTGGTGGGATAACTTTGCTCAGTGTAAATACACACACCAGTTTACTGTGCTGTGCAATTCACAGAGACAACCAAGTAAAATGAACAAGCATGCATGACAGAGCACAAGAAACAAAAATTTTTACTCTGTAAAACTGAAATATAATAATTGCAGAGGAAAAATATCACCAACTTAACACTGCAAAATTGTGGTTATTTTTTAAAATATGTCCTTTAGTGTCTTATGCAAGAAGACTTTTTTCAGGGACCTGGCAAATTACAAATGCTTGTGGCAGAGGCAGGGTACCTATTTTTCATGGGAAAACTGCCTAAATTAATAGGCCAGTTTAAGTTTGTTTTGGTTGGGAAGGAGGAAGAGCAGGCTGTTTGTTTGATGGAAAGTTGCTAAGGAAATGAATTTGTAGCCATAGATTTTCTAAAAATAAAACACTATTTTTCACTGCAGAAGCTCTGCACTTTATAAAGAGCAAGTTCACTCACACACACAAAAAATTATCATAGATTTAGACATATATGACTTAAACATCTATCTTTATAAATCCCAAAAGGCTTAGGGTATAAGGTGGGAAGAAAGAAAGAAATGTACTTTCATTCTTTACCTGCCTCAATCTTTCGAGAGTGTGAATATGAACAGACTCACTTATTTCAGACCTTAACTGAGCTTAGCTTTCTAAACTGTATCTTTTTGCAGAGCTTTGGTGTTAAAATATTATTATAAAGCATTCAAAATCTAAAACCAGAAATCCTGCATGTGCTGAATTATGTATAGCAAAAGTACCAACACAGAGCTAGACAATCCCCAAGATTTTCCTTTTTCAGCTTTAGACTGAAACCCAAATTCAAAAACAACCTTCTCCTCACTGTCAAAAAGAATGTGATTCAACAATGAAGCTATGTACTTCTATGCACTATTTACAGAGAAACACTTACAAGAGACTGTAAACTTCCATCAATATGTGAAAATTCAATTATTTTTTACTGTAGGCAAGGATAATCTCAAAACCAATTGCATGCTATTTGGTGCCAAATACATTCTATGTTAATCACAGATGCCAAAACAACAAACTTCCTCCTCCTGCAAGCTATCCTATTACTCAATTTTTGAAAGATCACAGCCAGGAAGGGCAACAAGGTAGAAAAGTCAGTGTCAGATTTCCTGAGAAATACCTATTTGCCAATTGAAACACAGGTAATTTCACAGAAAAGTAGAAAGCTGGACCAGCAGAACTAACCATAACTGGCCCCATTACATGGCCTGGAACTAGGCTGCCAGAACTGCAGAACCCCTTTTGTAAGAAAAGGCTTTTCTGGGATGCTGCTACTGAAATACTATATGCTCCCTCTATTTTCTACATATTCCTATTATTTTTCTTGGCTCATAGATTCACTAGAAACCATACCAAGATAATATATTATTATACATAATCTTCATCTATCATGCATCTGGCTTGTGGAAGCACTGGCACAATGGAAGCCTTTCTTTCAAACTTCGTATTTATATGGGAAAAAACCCACAACCCCTCTTATATTTCCATACATGATTTAAAATGAAGATGCTGAACAATCTGCCACTTGCTAAATGGAGGATAGAATCAGAAACCTTTTCAAACAGCATGGTTTCATGTACACATACAGGCCAAAAACATGTAGAAAACACATTATTAAAGTACTTAAAGAAGAACATTCACTTCTTTTCTGTTTTATTTGCATGTAAAAGCAAACACTTCAATACCCCTTTACTTTGTTCCTTCATAAACTGTAAGAAA